CGACTCACCCAAGGCACAGTGCTGGATGACGTTCAACACCTGCGGCGCCTGTCCTATCCTATTGCCAACATCTCCTTTGTTTCGTCCAGGGCCAGTGCAGGTTACGAATGACAACCCCGGCATTTTGGGCATCCCCAGCGAGGATCGGGGAAAGTTTCTTCCTCCAGGCATTTATCCTATTGCCAGATTAGCCAATATTCAACAGGATGGATTGGGTGATAATCAGCAGGATGGATTGGCCAATACCCGACAGGATGGATTGGCTGATCGTACGCCGGCTTTGTCGCCAGCGCGGCCACAGCAGACACAGGATTGTTTCGCCAGCTCCTCCGAAGGCCCTTTCACTCACCCTGCTCCTTCTACACCTACTTGCTCGCCAGCACGCCCAAACACTACTCCTCCGACACCGGCTTTCTCGCTAGCACGGCCACACCAGACACAGCCTAAGTACTACTCAGTTACTGTAGGCAGACGATGCGGAGTTTTTACAGGGTGGTAAGTATTTTCTCAATGGTTTTCTTTTACTTAATTAACGTGGTCCCAAATCAATTTAGGACCTATGTGCATAGTCTCGTTAATAGAGTCCCGGGTTCTGCTTGCTTTGGCTTCAATTCTCGTGAAGAGGCTTTAGAGGATTACCATACCATGAAGACACACGGTCATGTTCACGTTTCTGGAAGGGTAGAAGGCGACGAGCAAGAGTTTGGACCTATGTCCGATGCCATTATGTAGTTGTCTGCTGTCTTGTACCTGCGTTTTATATGCCTATGTCCAATGCCATTATGTAGTCGTCTCCTGTCTTGTACCTGTGTTTATATGATCATCAGTTCGTTCAACGAATTGGCTTGAATAAGTTTGAGAGTCACCCAGCATATGAGTAAGAGTGATGAGCCAGACATATAAACAGGTGATCCATGTCAGATAATACTCTACAAATTCTGCTGTGGTGTAGTCGTCTAACGGTGTGCTCTGTGTATAACGTTCATGCCAATTCTGCGACGCTCAGGCTGCTGGTTCGATTCCTTTAATGTGTAGCTACGGTATATCATATATAAAATGTATGCATCGTGAATGTGTCTGTTCACTGATTGATTGCTAAAACTATCTACAGTAGTGTTTGGAAGTCCGGTCTTGTGACTGGAAATAACCAGACCGGACCAAGACCGCAAAAGACCGGACCTGCAGTTACGGTCTTTTATTTTTGAAATGTAAAGACCGCAAAAAAACCGGTTAACGTGAACCGGTCTTGACCGGTTTGGACCGGTCTTTTGTAGCCCCTTAAATACCCTTTAAAACGCACCCAAGAACGTACGATTTGGTAAAAAAACGAGAGAGATATGAATTAAAATGTAAATTACTTTTGGGAATAATAGATGTACCAGACTTATTTTATAGAAGCACCAATTCCTAACTGAATTTAACGTCCTTGGGCTCGTTTTGAAGCTATTAGAGATGTTAATAAATTTACCGATTCATAATTTTAAAATATTGGCCTAAAGACCGGTCATAAACCGGTTAAAACCGATGCAGACCGAAACCGGTCTATAGACCGCAAAAAACCGTGGTCTGCGGTCTTTTTGCGGTCCGGTCTGGTCTTTTGACTTCTGGGGAAAAGGCAGACCGGTTACGGTTACGGTTAACGCCCCTGGGCATCAAAAAACCGGACCGAACCGGACTTTCAAACACTAATCTACAGGTTAAAACTTTGTTTTAATATTCTTCTACACGGGCAACCGTCTAGTTACGAATATCTTTACCCCGCTTAATAAGTGGGTTGAAGAATATTTCAAACTGTAAGGGTGTACATCGGAGAGGAGGGTTTTGCTGGATTGAAACTCAATTCAGCTTCGCAGGTCAATTCTTGACAGCTCCCCGATTTACAAAACAGTGGCTTCCAAATATCTTGGGTATTGTCCATGGGCAGTTATGTTTATTGACCTTCTAAAGCCATCCACACGATCTGACTCTATTGCATACTTGAATA